TCGCAGGATGTCGGTTTTTGAATACACTGCTTTTCAATCGCCTGTAGAAAATATACTCGGCAAAAGTGACTACTTAAATAACATGCAGTTTTGGCATTGATTTTCGGTCAGCTCGCAAATTCAAATATATTTTAGAGAAACCACGAACAAAATAGGCTTTCGTCCAGACCTGTAATAGAAAATCACTTCGCAATGCTTTACCGTACTAACAACACATGTATTAGCTTAAAGCCCAGACACGTGTGTTTCGCCGATCTTATGCCGCTGCCTGACACAGCTGCGAAAGTTTCGGCTCGTCAGTGGGTCCCCCAGCTTTCCCCGTGTGTTTTCTGGTATGTGAATTCCAGTTTCAACTTGCCTTGTTTAATTTCCGACGAAATTAATGCACGAACTTGTAGTAAATCTTTCCAAACGGGCCTTTTCAGGCATGGCCCAAAGTTTGATATGAATATTTGAGCTGAAATCCATCAGCTACTGTTGAATAACCGCTTCATATTCACAAACCGCCAAAAGGCAGCCAGTAGTATAGAGCTGTGCAATGATTTATCGCACTAACACATATATACCAGAAAACACACGGGGAAAGCTGGGGGACCCACTGACGAGCCGAACCCCTCGCAGCTGCGTCAGGCAACGGCATAACATCGGCTAAACACGCGTGTCTGGGCTTTTAGATAATACCTGTGTTGTTAGTACGGTAAATACTCACACAATTCTATACTAGTGGCTGCCTGTTGGCGGTTTGTGAATATTAAGCGGTTATTCCGCAGTAGCTGATGGATTTCAGCTCAAATATTCATATCAAACTTTGGACCGTGCCTGAAAAGGCCCATTTCGAAAGATTTACTCCAAGTTCGCATATTAATTTCTTCGGAAATTAAACAAGGCAAGAGAATCAATTCATTTTATTATTTTATATTCGAAGAAAGAGTATAATTAGGTTTTAAAAATGTTTTTTTAATTGCCGAATAATTTGGAGCCTGATCAGTCGTTGCATTAGCGCTTGGTAATTTCAGTCTACAAGGTGCATGCGTTCCGCGTAAAGAAAATCACATTCTTTTATGCCTTTAAAAAGATAGCATACAGAGTTCATAAAGTTTTGCAATGGATGCGGACTATTTTGTAAATTTCATGAGGAGCAATGGCAAACGAACAGATAAGATGCTATATGAATGGACATTGCCCGGTCTTAAAAAATCTCATAATTAGAAACTGTTTAAAAACCTAATTTTACTCCTTTTTCGAGTATTAAATATAAAGGTCATGTGATTTTCTATCAAACGACTAAAAGAAAACCTACTTTGTTCATAGTTTCTCTAAAATATATTTGAATTTGCAAGACCCTTGGGAATCAATGAGAAAACTGCATGCTATCTAAGTAGTCATTTTTGCCGAGTATACTTTTTACAAGCGATTGAAAAGAAGTGCATTTAAAAGCCAATATCCTGCCGTCTCCGAAATATTATAGGATTATGCCGCAAGATAATCAGCATTACAACCGCGCCTAAGTAATCCTTTCTAATCGAAAGCGCATTTCGTAATTTCAGCCAAGATTTCATGAGATCAGTCACTCAGTGTATTTACATAGCAGACGACAACGTCAAGTACTCACATATCATTAAGCCAGTCTACCTTCCTGCATAACACCCTTGAACTTTGCTGACTGTGCCTACGAGAACTTCAGACGCAAAAGTGAACTGGAACATTTTGCTAGTATCATGCGTTCCTGATACTAGGGTTGCTGGAAAGGAAAGTTGTAATGTCGCCAAAGTCTAGAACCTTATTGTGGTCCTAGACTTGTTGAAATTCTGCTCCTGTAGGAAGTGTTCAGCTGTGTCACTTTAAGTCGACAAAGTTGGGGAATGTTTGAGAAAATTTTAATTTAAAACTGATGACTTAACTCCTTTTCTATAGACAATCTATAATTGACTGTCCTCTTTAATTGCGCATTCCCAGTTCTTCTGTGTTTGACAGAGAAGTTTGTTGCTCGCTGGTTATGTTGCTACCTGTTTTGTTAAAGTAGTTGGGTTTTTGTAGTTTGACATCCACCCTGCAGAAGAGCTATCTCCAGAATCAAGCCTGCGCTGGCTGTTTAAATATCCTTGTGTTATCAATAATCTTCACATGCATCGTTTTTGAGGGCATTTAGGGATGTATAGTCTAGACATGGGTTTTAGTACACGGTGCACGTGTCTACCCCGAGAAAACCTTAAAGGTCCCTATCTGCCAAAGCGGCAAACAAAGTTTTGCAATCGAAGTTGAAGCATTTTCTTAGATTTTAAAAAAACACATTTGAGAATGAACTTCCGCACCAGCTGATTGCGTAATAAGAATGGATCCGCACGCAAGAACTTTTTCTGCTTTACTAACCTTTTTCAGAAAACGGATATGATTGGGCCATACTGGATGTCTGCGCACAAGTAGAGTCCAGTTGCTTTACTAGTCAGATGCTTTTTCCTCCTTGGCTTGTTCTTTTTACATTATTCCTTTTTGACGCAAAATTCACAATCCCCTGCCACCATTGAAACCTGTTTTTATAAACGTATATTTAAGGTAAACTGTCATCGGGTCCGGTCAAGTCCCCTATTAAGCCTGGCAGATGATACAGCACAGAGCTCATCCTAATCTTTTAAAACGCCAAAGTCACCCACACCTGTAAATCGGGGTCTATTCTTGTATTTACTTCAACTCTACTTATGCACCTTCAAAACTCCCCTTGGGCATCACGGCAGTCAAGGTTCATGCCAATATTGTTGGTGATTCACCCGGTTTAAATCCAACTTTCTCGCATATATTACCTCGCTTCTTCCATAACATCCGAGACCTGACCTGAAGGAGGACAGCAAGGACATGCAAGATAACGATAATGAATTCATACTACCATGTGTCGTCTTAAAGGCGGACCATCGTCTGTGAAAAAAAGTCACCAACTCTCATTTCAACAGAAGCTTCGTGGTGGCCTTTTTAAGAGTATCGCCTGAAATCATTCCCAGACTACATCCAAAAAAGGCCTTAAAATACTTGCTCGTGCTTCAAGCCGTATTAGAATTCATCTTCTGCCCTTTTATCGCACACTTCAGCAATTGGCATAGCTGTGCAGATTCCTGCAGTCGTTTTCTCTCTTCTAAACCCCATGAGTGCTACCCATGGTCCTCAAAAAAACTTCGTGTTTACTCCAGCTGGACGTATTCATTCGCTTTTCCTAGGCAAGATTTAACGAAAGCGACTATTTAAGATCGTCTGGTAGATTATTTTCTATTATTTTACAGGTATCCCACACGAGGACTTGTTTTGTTAAGGGATTGTTTTGTCTGGCTTTCTGATTAAAGACTGCTTGTTTACGGCTCTGGCACCAAATTGCCTTCTTTTATCCTCAAGAGGGTTGGCAGAATTACATAGACGAAAATTTGGCACTAGTGAGCAATAAATCTGCTTTAGGTCTCGTTTGAGTCCGCCAGCTGCTGGGAATATTATTTCAGCTATAATTTAGCTAGATTGTACAAATGTTGCCCATGCTCGTCCGCTTATGAAAAATTTTTATGGAGGCAAGCGTGGCTCTGCTGGCCCATTCTTTATCTAAGAATTAGCTCTCCTTCTCAAAAATTATTCTGTCATCGTCAGATTGCAACTCAAACCCTTCTTTGAAATAGCGGTTGTCTTTTAGAGTACAGAAACTAATTGGATTGTCCTGTAGCTAGGCATTTTTACTCTAATATCTGAGCATCGGCCTAACAAGATTGGTTCTTTAAAAGAGCTTTTCTTTTAGGTTTCCCGCCTGACATCAGTGAGCACAAAAACAGGTCATTCAGTGATTTACAATTCTGGAATTGGTGTGGAAGTCGCAATAATTACGGCCCCACTGGTCTGGCCTACTAGTCTGCCGAGTTGGCATGCCAAGCAAGCCGATTTCGTTGGGCTAGACTCTATGCGGCCTGTCGAAAGTAGTGTGGTCGACAAGATAAAGATTCCCAATCAAAAGTCAGGGAAGACGGTTTGAGTTGGACAAACTTTACTGCTTGGAAAGCGTGTACACAAAGGCTGTGTGGGCAGTCGCCGCAAGCGCGCTCCAAGCAAGCTGTTCTCTGTGTCCGCCCTCGAGGTGCTGTTTAGCGCGTGTGTGCGCCCTTCGTTGTCTCAATCTCAACAGCCAATCAGAGTGGGGGCAGCGTTGATTGGCTTCGAGCACTCGCGCATCCCATCAGCGTGTAGACATGGAGTGTGAGGCGGACAGGAGGGCAGCGTGACAAAGACGAAAAGCGAGGAGACGCGAACTGCTACAGTACCCCCCGGCTAGACCGAAGGCACAGCGTAGCGACGCCGAAGGAACTGTTGATATCTAAAAAACATGAGTAACGAAACGGTCAGGAAAGTGAACATGGCGTCCCCTACGGGTGATATATACAGGGGACACAGGAGTAGAGTGAGTATGGCTCGCGGTTACAGTGTTGCTGGTTGATGAAGTAGTTTTATCGCCGGTTTCTCCCGAACTGTGCCGATACCATCCTACCTCTGACCGATCTCCTCTCAGGTCCCAAACGCACCTTTGAACTTACATCAGCCGCACTCACGTCATTTGAGCAGGTAAAAGACCTTCTGGCTGACGCCA